TTTCTGGTACATTCCAGCCAATCAGGTCACATCGACTTAAACAAATCAATATGTTATATACATGATTCTAGAAAGTTCAAAAAGTTCTAACATGTTCAGATGACATGAAATGCAATCTGAAAACCTGATGATAATAATGGTACCATTTTATGATAGTATATTGTGTAAAATGCATATTACAAGAAGTACGAAGCTACAACTAAACTGGTGATTTGTACTAGATTTACATTAAGAATTACAAGAAGAGCACTTTGGTCTACCAAGAAACTGTGGTTGTTGTTGTTATTATTTTGAAAGCCAGGTCAACGTAAATAACTAAAACTATTCGATTCCTATTATGAATTTCAAAAGTGCAACAAATTACTACATAAGCTTCAGCTTGTGATCCAAGAAGAGATCCAACACCCTGCTTCACAATAGTGAAACATAAATAGAAATCAAAAACCAGTCCTAACTGAAATTTACTATTATTTATCCTAACGAATTTAACTAGCATCAGCATGGTGCGATAGTCAAAGGTAGTTTGATAATTCGGTTGGTTTTCTGAATCATTTAAAAACCGTAGTCCTGTAACCCAGCTAATAGGAGGTCATGAATTGTGGATATTTATAGGCATGCAATGTGGATGCGATACTCCCTGTTGTGGATTAACGTCCGCACGAGTGAGTACTACAACTATCCGTAGTACTATCCTGATAATACGACCAATTCGTATATACCAAGGCAAAAATGTGGTTCGGATTCCACTATAAACTGTAGGTCCCATAGTTGTCATTAGCTGCATGGGCTATTAATTAACAGCTGTGTCTAAGGAATATGTCGGCCTTAGTCATTAACAAGACTACAAGATCACGCCACTCATCCTACACACATCTCCATTCATACTTGGCTTAAAATACCTACTTTGTATGGTCGCCATTTCATTGAAAAGTATTCAAGTATTAAGTATTTAGCCTCAAGTAATAACTTTCATTTCATAATAGTCTACCTTTTGCAACACTGTAAAACAATCCACCTTTTCTCACATTGATATGTATCGAAATGCATTAATTTCAAATCTACGGTTCAAAAAGTATGTACTATAAATGTAATACAACTGGTGGTATAAACTGACCCTACAGATGCACCGACATATTTCCAACATATTCACTACCGGTACCAGGTACTGTGACACAAAGCCGACAATACAGTCAAAGATGAATGTGACTGCGGGTAGGTAACGTGAAATGCTGGTAGGCAACGTGAAATGCTGGTAGGCAACGTGAAATGCTGGTAGGTAACGTGAAATTCTGGTAGGCAACGTGAAATGCTGGTAGGCAACGTAGAATTGTGTCTTTCAAACAAGATGCATGCAATAATCCTTGAACATCTATGTTTCATACTTCTGAAATCGTTAACTATTAAATAACCAGGGTAACATTTAGCTCTGACATAAAAAAACAAACTGTAATTACATATCTTATAGCGTTTTGCTTGAATTCTAAATGTAGAATTTTCTAACAGAGAGGATGCCGCACCAAGGATCATACGACTAAACAATGCTGAGACTTCTCAGACACCGTCAGACATGCAGGCCTCGCCATCCTTGTAAGTGAAATAAATTATTATTTTATTATTATAAGTTTAAATGAATTATATTGATTTTTGCTATTAATAGGCATAAGGTCTACCTAAGATTGTAGGTCCATATAGCACCATGCTAGAAAGATTTTACAAAAGAAGGACGTACACAATTGTATTAAATTTGCATTGAGTTATAACGCTTTATTTTATTTACATTTAAAAACTGGGAATAAAAAAAAATGTTTTTGTTAGAAGTAGTTTTTTTGAGAGTGTAATTTAGTTTAACGATATTTACAGATCTTGGTTTAGTGCAACTTCTCAATACCATAAATTATTTATACCAGAGTGAATTTAATCCGTATACTATTGTGCAATAGGAGAATAGCAAATAAGACTTACTTCAAACCATTTGACACTACAACCATCACTTACAATCATTCACCTTTTTTACAAACTGATGTTGTTATAATCATATAGTTTAGAAAAAAGCTAATCATATTTTATTTACTAAGCCAGAAGATGATTAAAATATCATAGAAAAAACATTCGAAAAGCATACCTACAAGAATGTAAAATAATATTGTAAGAACAATCACAAATCTTTGATTTCAAGTATTAAATTGAAAATATTTGTCAATTTTATGAAGAATAAATATTTACACTTTACACTTATTATTTATTTACATAGGCCTATCAAATTCTCTTAATACAATTCATTCTTCATAAATTTGGATGATTTCAGGAAACGGAGAGTTGCTTTGATTCGATATCCTAAGCCGAGACCAATGGTATCACATGCTACTAAATTTAAACTGAAATTATTCAAGAAGAAAAAGAAAGCAAAGGTGGGAAAAGTCATACACCACCACAAACACGAAGGTCACGTAGATCACGTTCACAAACATGAGGGTCATGCAAAACACAGTCACAAACACCATGGTGAGCAGAAACACTCTCACAAACACCATGGAGACGCTAAACATAGCCATAAACACCATGGGGAAGGCAAACACAGTCACAAACATCATGGACACACTGACCATCACCACAAACACCATGGACACAGCGAGCATTCCCATAAACACCATGGTCATGGGAAACACTCTCATCACCACCATGGTGAACATGAACATAAGCACGGACACCACGGTCACCACGAACATGGACACAAACACCACGGACACTCGGAACATCAACACAAACACCACGGCCATTCGCAGCACCACCACAAACACCACGGGCACGGTGAACATAAGCATAAACATCATGGAGAAGCGAGTCACAAACATAAACATCACGGACATAGTGAGCACAAGCACAAGCATCATGGACATCACGAACACGGGCATAAACACCACGGCCATCAAGAACACGGGCACAAGCATCATGGCCATCAAGAGCATGGCCACAAGCATCATGGTCACAACGAGCATTCTCACAAACACCAAGGCCATGCAGAACATCACCATAAACATCACGGACATGGTGAACACGAGCACAAACACCACGGACATGCTTCACATCACCACAAACATCACGGAGAATCGAAACACCATCACGCCCATCACGGTCATGGAGAGCACAGTCATAAACATCACGGACATCACGACCACGGACACAAACATCACGGACATACAGACCATGGACATCACCACCACGGTAGTGCTAAACACGAACACAAACATCACGGCCACGGAGACCACCACCACAAACATCATGGAGAAGGAAAACACGTGCATAAACATCATGGTCACGGAGAACACGACCATAAACACCACGGACATCACGAACACGGCCATAAACATCACGGACATTCGGACCATTCGCACAAACACCACGGTCATTCGGAACACTCTCACAAGCATCATGGCGAGGGTAAACATCACCATTCCCATCATGGACATGGAGACCACCACCATAAACACCACGGCCACGCGAAACACGAGCACAAACACCACGGTCATAATGACCATCACCACAAACACGATGGTGATGGGAAACATTCACACAAACATCATTTACACGCTGAGCACGGCCATAAGCATCACGGACACGCGTCTCACGGACACAAACATCACGGACATGCGGAACATTCCCATAAACACCACGGCCATGGGAAACACGAGCATCACCACCACGGAGACACCAAACACGAGCATAAACACCACGGAGATGCTAAGCACCACCATGGACATCACGGGCACTCAGATCACAGCCACAAACACCACGGACACTCCGATCATCACCACAGCCATCATGGGCACAGCAAACACGAACACAAACACCACGGTAGTCACGGACATGAACATAAACACCACGGAGACAACAAGCACGAGCATAAACACCACGGGCATAGTCACCACGATCATAAGCACCACGGGCATTCAGACCACAGCCACAAGCACAGCGGCCACGGTCATCACGATCACAAACATAAGGGACATGGTGAGCATAAACATAAACACGGCGTCGGTGGAAAGGGACATCACGACAGTGACCATGATCATGATGAACACGAGTACGATGATCATGACTTTCTTGAGACAAATGTTCAGCCTGTGACCTCAGTAGACATGAACACTGGTATTTTGAAAACTACAAATAAAAATACAGCATCTTCAGCAAGTAAGCCTATAGCATACAATAAAGCATCCGCTTCGATACCGAGCAATGAAAAATCTGTTGAAAGAGATGCAAAAATGCAAAGTAGGCCTATTACAAAACCTGAAGTCAACGTGAAACAAGAGAAATATTCAAGTAAGAACAAGAAAGGGTCACCCTTAAGTTCTGAAGATTTTAAATTTGATTCGTCGGAGTTTTCATTTTCCTTCGAAGATGCAGATTTTAAGTCCCTAGAAAAAGAAATAGCTGAAATTGAAAAGGAGATGGGCAGTGAATCTTGAAATATATAACTATAGGTAAGAAAATCAAAATATATTTGTGTATATGTATGTAATTTTATGAAATATAAGACTTTTTAAATACACAAAATCGTTTATGGTTTGCACCCCTTTTCGTTTCACGTACCAAATTGATATTTTTTATCGTGTCCGGAACGCGAATGAGATTTGCAATATTTGTAATTTTGATGTAGGAAATTGAAGTTCTAATCATGATTAAGGATGTCAAAAATTTTGACGTAAAACAATAAAAGGACGCATGTATTTTCCCCTTATAAAAACAGGACATTAACTTTATTTGTCAATCAACTAGGACCAAATAAAAAATATAGTTTTGAATCATTTAAACGTAAAGCATCACAAATACAGTAACAGGTACAGTAGTATCATTAGATTACATATAAACATATTGAACGCATCCGGTATTTTTGCAAGGTACGATAGAAATTAAAAGAATAAATAGAATTAAAATGACGTAATAGCTGTTAAAAAAAATCTATTTTGCCCAATGTTTTATATTTACACTACTTCACTGATATGAATGTTCCTTCAAGCGACTACACTCATAACATAAAACAGAACAGTCGGGAAAACTGCATCAATGCTTTAGCAGGAACTGAGCTGCAGGACCAATATCCTATCTTATTTGAAGCGTAATACAAATATAAATGTCGCCTTATGTTTGATACTTTATTGAACTGTACATGAAACTATTGAATTCTCATGTATTTAATAGGTGTTGTTTACACTCCATGAAACAAATTTTTGTGCGAATATTCATGGCAATTAAAACCTGTAAGGCTATATGCAGGAAACCGAAGAAAAACATAAACCAAGATCCCAATATCTTGGACTTATATTTTCCCTAGTATTGCTTTAGAACTTTTTCGTGGGGTTAGGTAAAACAAAACTACGTTAGGCAAGAAACATACAATATCTTTTTACTTATAACAAACACACACTCGAGATGTAAAATTCACTCAGAATAGTTCAGAGAGAATAATTTTACTGCAATGCATGTGAAACTAATAGCTATGAATCACGTATAATTAATGATCATTGCTATTGCATATTACAAATGGCTTATGGTTTATTTTTAATCTAATAAAACAATGATGTTTGTGTTTTTGCAGAAATAGAAGACTTGCTCCTCTCAGGTTTGTCCCAAGACGACCAATCATTAGACCTGCAAACCAAATACCGCTGATACAGGAGCAGGAGTCAGAGATTGAACATACACATATACATGACACGAAGCACTTAGGAGAAGTCTACCATCACCACAAACACTCTGGGAAAGTTGATCACATTCACAAGCATGTCGGTCATGCTGGACACAAACATCACCATCACGGATCAAACAAACATGACCACCATCACCACGGACACGCAAAACATAGCCACAAACACCACGGAGAGGGGAAACATAGCCATCACCACCACGGGAAACACGATCACGGGCACAAACATCATGGCGGCCACAAACACGAGCACAAACACGAGGGTCATGGTAAACACGCGCATCATCACCACGGACACAACGAGCACAAACATAAACATTCGGGACACTCGGAACATCACCACAAACACCACGGACACGGCGAGCACAAGCATCACCACCACGGCCATCATGAACATGGACACAAACACCATGGAGAGGCGGAACATAAACACAAACACCACGGAGAAAGTCATCACAAACACGAGCATCACGGACACGGTCATCACGAGCATAAACACCACGGACACCACCAACATGGGCACAAGCATCATGGCCATCATGGGCACGGACATAAACACCACGGGCATCACGAACACTCTCACAAACATCACGGTCATGGATCTCATCACCATAAACACGAGGGACACGCTGAACACGGTCATAAGCACCACGGCAGTGGCAAGCATGAGCACAAACACCACGGCCATAGCGAGCACGACCACAAGCACCACGGGGAGGGAAAACACATTCATAAGCATCACGGACATGCTGAACACGAACACAAACATCACGGTCATAATCAGCATCACCACAAGCATGAGGGACACGCAGAGCACGGCCACAAGCATCACGGACATGCATCACACGAACACAAACACCACGGGCATTCTGAACATAGCCACAAACACCACGGAGAAGCAAAACACGGACACAAGCACCATCTCTCTGGAGTACATAGCCATAAGCACCACGGGCACAGCGAACACTCTCACAAGCACCATGGTCACTCTGAGAATAAGCATGAGCACCATGGTCACCACGATCACGGCCACAAACATCACGGATCCAGTAAACATGAACATAAACACCACGGGCATAATGAGCACCATCACGATCACCATGGACACGCAAAACATGAGCACAAACATCATGGTACTACCGACCACCACCACAAACACCACGGCGAAGGAAAACATAGCCACGCACATCACGGTCATGGGGAGCACGAACACAAACACCATGGTCATGCAGAACACAGTCATAAGCATCACGGACACGCAGAACACGACCACAAACATCACGGAAGCTCCAAACACGAGCATAAACACCACGGTCACTACGGGCACGACCACAAGCATGATGGGCACGGAAAACACGAGCATAAGCATCATGGACACGCTGAGCATGGCCACAAACATCACGGGGAAGGAAAACATCATCACGATCATAAAGGTGAAGGTAAGCATTCACACCACCACCACGGGAAAAACGAACATGAACACAAACACCACGGGCACGGGTCACACGACCACAAACATCACGGGGAGCAGGGTCACAAACACAAACACCACGGGCACGGAGAACATCACCACAAACATACAGGACACTCTGAGCATAAGCACAAACACCATGGTCATGCTGATCATCTACATAAGCACGAGGGCCACGCTAAACATGGACATAAACACTCCGGACACAAAAAGCATCACCACAAACACGAAGGAGGAACAGAGCAACACCACATGCACAAAGGAGCTAGTCATCATCACCACAAACATTCGGGAGGGTCCGACCAGGAGCACAAACATCACGGACATAGCAAACACGGCCACAAACATGGCACGGACGATCATCACGACATGGGCCACGATATGAACATGGATATGTATGACGACGGTCTCATGGAGTACGACGATCAGTTCGAGGGAATGGAGAGTGTTGTGGTTCCCGTCCAACAGAAAGCGCAATCTCGGATGATGTTCTTCGATAAGAAAAATCCTCCTGAGAGTAATAAGAACAAGAGACAACTAGATGATTTTGCGTTCTTCAATTTTGGATCGTTTGGATTTGACGGGTTCTCTTCAGAGAGTACAACACCGGTGCCAAAGAAGGGATATCCTCAAGACAGTTATGAGGAGGGTTCAGCCAGACCTTACTCCAAGGAGGACAGTAAAAGTGCCGAGGACAGTGGAGAGTACCCGGACAGTAGGAGCAGGGAGAACACGTCATCGTCCAGGGAGGACTACTACTCGTCCAGGGAACGGTCCAGAGAGAGGTCGAGCAGCGAAGACTACGCCGAGGGTCCGAGAAAAGAGAGCGGCGAGGAGAAAACAAAATCTAGCTTTGAAGACTTTAATTTTGATTTTTCTGATATTAATTTTTCCGCTGAGTTCAGTTAGATGTAACATATTTGCTTTTAAAAAATAGTTTCACATGAATGTTTTGATAATAGATTTTAACTCTGTAAAACGTAGGATTATTCTACAATATGATTTATTATTATTTTGTCTTAATCATATGTTTGATGGAAATTAATTTCATATTTTGTTTTGAAAGTATAGTAATATAGTCCGGAGCGTTTAGATTACTTATATAAAATGTAAAAAATTTGCAATATTCTATGTAATTGAGTGGGACAGTTTGAGCTACCCAACTTTTGATTGGACAATTATAATAGGGCTAAAACATATGTTGGTATTTTTCTAGTATTTGTGGTTGAAACCAAATCATAATAATACCATAGATAGACTATGTTTTATTCATGTTAATACTGTACGTAAGTTTTAAGTTGTTGTAGTCATGAAACAAGTTAAATGTATACGAGTTTGTAATTTTATATTAGTTCGGAAACTAATTTTCCAACAGAACAACATATTACCAACAGTTTATTAATGTTAGATAAATAAAATCTTTATCCTCATTGTTACATAATCAGTTTATAATTCATACATGAAATTGTTATACAGTATAACGAATAGTAGCCTATTAATAACGCAAATCGTGATATAGCTAGGATACATTTTCTGGTCTTGTAAACCTCTTTACAAAATTCAAACATTTAATAATGGAAGAGAGGCTTGGATCTCAAATTATATTTTAGTTGACTTTTTTTATTTAGACTGTAATTGAAATGGCACGTAAAAATCATTGATACCATTTACACAACTGCTAAAGTTACGGAACAAAGACTGTTAGTGTGTCTATAGTGTATTGTATAATGTATAATAGAATTGTTATGTAGCATAGTTTTTATACTTTTTAATACATTTTATAAACTTTTATTCTATTTATTTCCTTGTCTCGATTAACTAAGTTCACATTAAACCATAAAGCTATTTTACACAGTAAATACTAGAAACGTACTTCTACGAATATACAATTTTATAATGACAGGTAAAAACTTTAATTAACTTAGTTGACTTTGAAGTTTATTATTTTTATGACACTACTTGAATCCACTTTAACAAAAAGTGTATTTTTTAAAAGTAATTGATTTAACTTAGAACAAAACAAGTAATAAAACAACATTTTACCACACCAAACAATCAAAGAACTAATATTGGTAAATAACAATAAAATGAATGTCTTAATTTAAGTTATAACCATTTATTGATACAAACATTTTCATTTTCATTTCTAAAAATGAAATGTGTTTTAAGGGTTTAGAATACACATACATTTAAAGAAATATAAGTTGTATCCAAAGCCAACACTAATAGTCCTAAGAAATTCGTTTGTGGTAGCAACAGAACTAAAGGAAAATCGTTTCCTTATACAGTAAATAAGACTGTCAAATAATACAAGAAGTAATCAGAAAACAAATATAATACTGGATAAATATGGACTGGATAAATTTTCTGAAATAACTTGCTCCTTTGTAAGACGGCTTCTTTGTGTAAAATTCAAGTCTCTTGTGAGTGGGTATGATTTCATTCTTTTTTCGCGTGTTGTAATGGTGTGTTTCTTGTTCTAAAATTGTATCCTTCTTATTGTTTAAAAATATCATAATAGTGTCTAAAAAACTGACCATAAACTGTTAATATGTTTAGCATTTTAAAATGTTCCCATCATGATGTACCTGGATGTAGGTTTTTTATTATTCTAATCGCTTTCTTTTGTTCTTTAAGTATTTTATCTAGATTTTCTAATTTAGATGAGCCATAAATATGTTTAAATGGATGTGTTTAAATATGTTGGCCATGGTTGATTGGTTGGATAGCTGTCAAAAGCATTCCAATCTTTACAACCATGTTGGTTGAGGTTATTTGATGGACATTTATCAACATTTAACTATTGCACGTTAAAACTGGGCGTTAAAGTAATTTTGAAACATTATCAATTGTTTTTAATACTAACTTATTTTCCACTTGTCAAGTTAGTGTATTTGTTGATAAGCAACCACAGGACGACACAATCTTGACTCTAATTTCACAAGTCCGACCAAAACGAAACAGGATGACCAACAAAACACAATAAAAAGCGGCCATCTTGAAGGCACTCTTTTCATTAAATGTTTAACCAGAGAGTAGTGATTCCAGTTATAATCCATGCATCTCAAGGCTAAAATACGCACCTAGGTGGGGTTCTCATCTCAATAATTGATAACTGATAATCATAGCACAACATAAATAAATTTATATTAATTAATAATCATTGCTTTGATTTTTATCTTGGAACATTTTCTTTTTATACACTAGCAAAAGCATATAGATCACAGCAGAAGGGTGATTATTGGTCATACAAGTGGTACATTTTCTATCTCCTGCAGTAACTAAAGCACCTCGTTGTTGGCATTTCCCCAGCAAGACCAGTTCCACGGGTCAAGCGATCGCCCACAACAATCAGCGCATGTAGGAACTCTTGAACACTTACTGTCAGTGAAAGTACCACTTGCTATCTACACATTGTGTAACTTGGAACATTCGAGACAGTGGAAGTGGACTAATGGAATCGGAATGTGGACATGGGAACTGCAGTGGCAGTCGTAAAACGCGGGTAAGACTCGTGATTGAGTTGTGGTTGATGTTACCTATCAGCACTAGGAAAGACCTCTCGATAAATGAGCATATAAATGGTACCGGTGAAGATGAAGAAACGTTGTGGATATAACATTACACTTATTATTTAGTACGAGTAACAAATAACAATCATAAAAATCATAAATAATAATAATACCATAAGAGGTGTACAAGTGTTGGTAAATTTGATTCGTTGTTGGCAGATTAAAGTTCATAAAATGATATGATATTATTTTATGTAACGTATGATGCATTTTTTTTATAGTTTGCCATGCACTGCAAATGAATACACTTGCTTATTAATTAATGTGCGTTTACAACAAAGTTGACAACTAAAAGTTGCTCCAAATCATTAGAGCAACTAGCGGTGGATTTTTTTTTGTGGAGAAGCAAAAGTTTTTCTTTTATTTAGAACAAGCAGTTGACAACTTTTTGCCAAAGAATTGGAGTGAAATAAGCAGTAGTGACAAGGATGTTGGGCGAAGAAGACGCTATCAGTGCTGTGACTGCCAGTGTCATAATAGCCAGCCACTGTACAAGAGGTCCCCGAAGATATTGGGGGATACCCTCGTTGATGGACAGGGATAGGTACAGTGGCAGTGACTTGATAGCTGATCTCCAACGTGAGATGAGGTGCAACGAAAGTGTAACAAACATTCTAGAATAACCAGTAGTTACTTTGAATATTATTTCAATGATCAGACATGAAATCAAACAGTTCTCCACTAGTTTTTTACAAGTTGCTTGTGCAAAGCGCGCATCATAATCATATCAACTAATCTTCCACTGTTTAAACTTTCTTTTATCATTACCGAAACTCCACGGGAAACCAAAATTGAGTGGAAGACTTGTCTCTACACTAGTGTAAGACAGAAAAAGTTGCTGTATTTCTTAGATAAAAACAACTAATTGCCGCAACAAGTGGAGTAGAAGGCTTTGGTGTAAACGCGGGAGAAAATCGTAGGTTTGGCCCATAGAAAGGTCAGTAGCTTCATGATGGTTTAAAAACTGGTTCTAGCTTTTTTTTATCAAAGCTGATCTCGATCATTAACAAACTATATACATAAACACAAACAATGCAGTATATTCTACTTCAGCTCGGTGATGGCGCTGTTCCAATTGAGCAAAAATGCTGTGTGCTCACTGTACGTATAACAATCGTATGTTAGAGTAAACACAACAAACAAAGTAAACATAGCCATTCTTTGTAGTATTTTGATCGGTTACAATATTTTGCAGTCAAACAAAAAACTTAATTGATTATAAAAAAGATAATTAAAATACATTGATTTGAAAATTTAATAATACACAGCCCTTAGGGTGGATGTTTTGTAATAAACAAAAAGGCACATCATAGCGGTAGAAACTTCCATTTAATTCGATGTATGTTCATTTACTTAGAGTTCTTACATTTAAAAGGGTCCTGTACTGATATATATTTCATTCTTTACACGAATGACTTGTATAAGGTTTTAAATTATGAAGTTTGAAAAAGTTTTAAAAAGAATTGCCAATTTATCATATTGGTCAATACTTTTTCTAGAAGTGCCGAATATCAAGTTAAAGGGGTCCTCAACATTAATTTGTGAATATTTGGGCTTCCATTGGTATCTTTGAATGAAAAAATCATGGAACTTGCTACACATTTACATAGTGTTTTTTTTTTACCAAACAGAAAAGAAAATTTTGACCCAGACTAGGCCTAGCTATTCCAAAAGCTGTATGAGCTATTTATAGTGTATTGAGAAATATAATAGATGCATCTTTGACCTACCATATTACACTTTTGAATAACATTTTAGACTATCGTCTAATACAAAGCTATGTGAATTGACTCTTTTAATTACGCTTTTTATTAGCATTTAATATATAAAGTAAAATAGTGACTCTGGTCTAAAATGATAAAAAAATATAAGTTTAATTTATTTATAATTTTAAAAAATATATGTAATGACTAATTATGCAAGCCTTTGTATATAGCAGACAACCCTTCATTTATCGTATAAGATTGGCCCTGAACTAGTTTGGGATTATTAGGTTTTTAGTCGTAACATTAGAAGTAATTAATATCCTGTAAAAAATACGTAGGTAATACTAACTTTTAGGGAGGTAATAAATATTTACATGGAGAAAACAAAGAGTTTTTTTCTTATTCATACAAATTTTCAGTCCTTGGCACCCAATCAATCGTTATACAAATGTACATTTAACATAAGCCATAACTTTAATGATAAGTCATAACTTGGCAAACATTCTGTAAAACACGCCAAATTAAATAATTTATTCACCTACTTATATCATGTATAAATTAGACTGAAATTGTTTAACCCTATAATGTGTTTATTTTTTAATCAGTAACATATTTTGTTATACAATCAAGC